TTACAAGGGAAATGCACAGACAGACTTATCTGTACAAAGCATGCATTTAAACAATGACAGATATTTTATGGTGCTTAGTTTGCTGAAAGCACTCCACTGTAAATATAACAACATGCAAGGCAATGACAATGCACAGGACAGCAACGGACAGAACGTACATACATTTGTTATGTGAAAAAGGATGGGGTGGATTGAACCAACAGCCATGAGAGTGGGTGTTGACATCGTAGCGATCTATATTTAAAAAAAAAAAAAAACATATCATTACCTGATGTGGAAATGCAAAGTGTTCCCATGATGAACCCTGTAACGGTTTTTTTTAATTACTATTATTTCTTAGTGCAAATGATGCTTCAACTTGTAATACTGACATTATTGCTTTGGGTTTCATAGCACCTTTTGAACTTTTAGTTTTGTAATCATCCAGATATCCAGTCTCTATGTTCAAGACACCTCTATTCACCTAAACCACATAACACCTGCAGATGCCAAATATGTGTATAACCAGTAGAACTGGAAACACAGAAAATATTTTTAATGCAGGATCATCAGTAGGGGACCAGTTTTAGATTCTGTCCTAATCACTTCTAAGAATTGTATTCACTCTCTGACAACAGATAATATACATCTTTAAGTAGACTTAAGAATCAATATAATATAAATTTTGTAGGATTAGACATCACAAAATAATAAAAGCTCATATAGGAATATTTCAAAATATTTCAGAATACAGATAAATGCTTAATTTATCTGTTAAATGCTTAATTATGAATAGAGATGCATTATAAAATCGGCTGTTGACTGAAACCACATTATTTTTAACTTTTAAATATTTTTTGAGTGGCGAATACCTTACACCACGTGCTACCGGGATCAAGAAAAAGATCACTATTTGGTTTTAAAGCTGTAATTGGAAAATACTCAGTTACTTGAGAGTGAAGTCAAAGAAAGCAAATTGATGAAGGAAGCTCTTTAAAAAGAAAAACTGTGCTCCCTGTGATATGTCCAGATATGGCGACAATTCATTTAGGCTGCTGCAAGGGAGCGAGAGAGAGTTAAACAGATAACAGAAAGATTGAACAGAGCACATCGGGTGCTCTGTTTTATTGTTTGAACTTTGAGTCTGTCTGTCATGGAACATTTAATTTAGAAAAGTTGGCAGTTTTTCAACACTAAAAACTTTCATTACCCAGGGAATACACACATTATATGGTGTTTTATAAATGCTAACTGCTCTAGTGGCTATTCAAAAGACAACTTAAAATGTCATTTCCACAATCCTTTTGGCTTTGCTTAAAAATAATTGTAAAACCCTGCTCTCACATAGCAGGGTGCCGTTGCCTATGCTTCAAAAATAAAATAAAAAAATTACTGACTAACAGTGGGAAAGCTAGAAAAGTATATTTTGACTGCTGTTCTTATCTCATCTTATAATCTGATTCTTATAGAGAAGCCAAAATCAGCTAAAATTGGTATGGGCAGGTCAAAAACCAGAGTATGGAAGTTGACAACATATTTCCGAGGATTGCATCACTAAATATTAGTATTTATGCCAATTTATAGAATATTGACTATAACATAAAGCAACAGTATTCTTCCTAACACCAATGGACCAAATTAAGCACACTTACAAGCTTTTATCTATCTCAGCTGCATCATATCATCTATTAAAAACACCTTATAACTAGAGTTGTATTTGTTGCTTATGGTTTGTTTATCTGCATTGAGTACTTTGTCTTATCTCCCCTGCATCCTAATGTCTCCTGCGACTTTAGCCGATCTTGCTGATCGGTTTAGGCCATTTTTTTCCTCATTATTTATTTGTGGTGTTTTAGACTGTAATTTATCATCTTTTTCAGACAACCTTAAACCCAATGGCTTCTTTCTCTTTTTTTGTCTCTTGTCTTCTTACAATTGTTTTACACTGACTGAAAATATTTGTTGATGTTGCCTTTGATTGCATTTTTTTTTTTGCTAGAAACGTGTACATTGTCTCAATGTGTCTGTATGAGTGAGTCTGAGCCGCACAAATCTGAATTGCATTGAGAGGAAGGACATGGGTGAGTTATTTATTTTATTTTATTTTTTCCTTTTTATGATCACCATGTCTTTGATTTTTTTTTCACAGAAAGTTGTGGAATGTGCAATACCGCATACTGCAATCTATGCAGGCCAAGAATTGTGGCACTTTATTTTCTGTCAATGGGAATTTGTAAGTGTACAGGTAGAAATTACCTGTATTTTTCAAATGTTTTATCTTTAAAACATGGTGGTGAAAAGCTGCTGCAGGTACCAGAATCTATCAAAACAATGCAAATGGGAATTAAAGTTTTGATTTTATATAAATTGCTGTCACAAGCACCTTAATGCCAGGTACCGAGACACCTCAAATTTGAATATTTGTGGGTAGATGGATCCAAATTGACCACCAGGGCCTTTTATATAGCCTTTAAAATAATAATAACCTGACCTAATTTTAGTTGCCACAAGCAGTATTTTGTGTTTTTTGTGAATTAAGAATGATTCTATTTTTTCTAAACCAAAAAAACAGAGCATGACCACAATTTCCTGCCATATGGTGGTTGAAATGATGCCCACCTTTTCATAAGACCTCTGTTTATGAGAAGGCAGCAAGTCATTTGCTTTGTTCATATAGCACTGTACAGAAAATTCTAATTTTATAGGAGAAATCAGGTCTTTATGTAACAGATACAAGTAATGTTATTGAGTTCTCAGGTTTTCTATAAATCTCTGATGTTCTCATTGGATAAATGATTTGTTGTTTGTGTTGTTTTCTTTTTCTTTTTAACAACTAGTGTCAAACACTCTATTTCTGTACTTTTTCAAAGCTGTTGTCAAATTAATGTCAGTGTCCTGGCTGCTATATGTACACAATATGTATCCCTCGTCATGGATAATTATAATTCTGTGCAGCACATTCAATATCAATATTCAATCATCTCCATCAGCCTTCAGTGATGAGCAAAGGAGTGGCTATGAGTGTCTATAGCCATCCATCAGATTGCAGTGTCTTGCAAAAATGGATATGTCTTTTGAATTTTTTCAACAACAAAAAAATTAAGATTACAGCCACAAACTTCAATATATTTATCTATAATATGATATCCAATAATTAAATGCTGTCCATTTGTGTGTAATTCAGTCTTGGTATAAGTCCAACAATTCTATGAAGGCCTACTATGAAAATAATACTAGCAAAAAAACTGCCTTAATCAAGCATATAGGTCAGGGTGAGAAGCTTAGAGTAAAGTTGGTTTCATAAAAACAATATTCCAAAGGTTTGCAAGTTTTGAAAATTTCATGGTGCACTATTCAATCCATTATCTTAAAACAGAAAGAGCAAGACACAGTTAGGCAAAGAGACCCTTAATAAGATAAGGATCCAACGCTCCCATGGTAACTCTGGAGGAACTGCAGAGATCCACATCTTCATAATTTTTTGTGAACTGTAAGTCCATGCTTTCCTTCTCCTTTACCTTCATGCAACACTTTGTGTTGCCACATAAATTCACCCAAAATATATTGCACTTTGTGGTTGTAATGTGCTCAACAGTGAAAAGATTCAAGGTGTGCGAATACTTTTGCATTGCACTGTACATTGTCTACTGCTCCATTCTCTACAGTCTACAGCTTTACAGACTTTGGCCACCTGGTGACCAAAGGCAATCATCGGGTTAAAGAAAAGCCGTGTAGAGGAAGCAAAAGTGTCCAGTTAAATGTTTTTGAAAACCGTTTCAATCGGTGATTTCTTTTTTGCATATGCTATTTTTTTTTACCTGTATGCCCAACGTAGCATAATCTGACTCAGTATTCAGAGATTTGCAAGACCTCATGGAGTCATCTTTGTGAAATGAATGATGCATCATTGGAGACTTGGATGTTTCTGGTTCCCTCCGATCTCAAATCCAGGGTCAGTGTTGGTTGTGAATGAATGAAGTTTGATGATAACCCTCATGTTGAAGCTCCTTAATTCTCTACATGTGCCCCCCCTCCTTACCCGTCCCTTCCTCTCTTTTGTGATAATCATGTGTCTGTGTTAGCCCTGAATAATCCTTCATTATAACAGAGTAGAGAAACAAAGGGAGTTAGATTGATCGATTATATCCTTGTGGAATAAAATTTCTGTGGAGAGGAATTCTGCAGGCTGACAGCGAAAAGACCATGCTCTGTCTTAGTGTCTCATATCAGCACATTGCGTAGTGATGCTGTACAGAGTGGAAATGATATCTTTATTTTCTCTGAGAGAATGTTTATTGTCTGTGTCGATCACTTGTGCTTACCAAGCCGTTCTCCCCAAAAATGCATAAAGCAACATTGTTTTGTTCTTATGTATGTGTATAATATTATGCCTCTTACATTATTATTTTTTATTTTTTTCTCCATTCAGCTTTGAGAAGACATTATCATTAGACATATTCTGAGCTACAGACTGTTTCTGTACAAAGTGACATCTTTGTATGCATGTTGTACTCCAAGCAATTATGTGACCATAGAACAGTTTGTTATGGTACATGTTTGTCAACATTTCTGTAGAGCATTGTTCCCCATTACATCTACTAGCATTATGCAGAATAACAAATAAATGTGTATATATCTTATGTGTTTTGTGTCTGCTTTTATGTATCTAAGCTGATGTTTCTGCACTGCATCTGCATATTAGGGATCGTTGCATCATTATACTGATACCAGATATTTACATACACTGCATATAAGTATGCATGATCTTTTTCCTTACTATCATTAATTAAATTAAACTAAATGTTCTTGTTTTAGGTCAGATTGTTTTTGGGCAGAATTTTTTTGTTGCTTTCTTCAAGTTCACATACACTACAATTAGTGTATTTAGGCTAAAATAATTTGAGAAAGCTGAGACATGTCATGACTTCATAAGAAATGAATATGTTGCTGAGTGCTGTTATTCCTCCCAACCGCCAAAGGTCGCTGTAGTCCCTTGTTTTTGCGTTGTTTTCGCTCATAAAAGAGCGCGCGCGGAAACTCTTCCACAAGCATGAAGAAATAAATAACAACGATGGAGTCGTCCAGTACAGATAAAAGTGTCAGCTCTACTCGTGTTACCGCCGTCGCTTCAGGATGGATGCTGGACTTCCTGTTTGTGAGTTTATGTCGAAGCTTCAAAGAGGGAAACTTTGATGCATTTAACGAAACGCTGTCAGTTTTTGAAGGTGAGTTCTCCAACAACCGGCCGATAACCCAGCGGGAAGTAACTACTTATCTGGCAGTCGGAAGATTTTAGGACAACATCCTGGATTTTCACCTTACTTCTGAAGTAGTTTCTGACTTTTTGAAACGACTAACTTCACTGTAATTCCGCTGCGTGAAGTGACTGGAATAATATTTACTTTTATTGGTTTATTTTCAAATACAAAAAAAATTAAAAAGTATATATTTTTGACGTCGCTTGCAGATGTAACGCCTTTTCCTCATTTTCAAACTGATGTAATCCAACATCGTGTTTTTTATAAGAAAAAAAGTCCGCATTTTGAGGATGATTGTGATATTGATATTTTCAGAAAAAAAGTTATTTTGGGGTTTTTTTTGAGTTGAAAATGTTTGTGCTTTATTGTGTTTAAACAATAATACACATGTAAAAGGCCTCTTTTGTGTTTTGATGTTGGAAGATCTGATATGTTCTTGTTTTTTCTCAGCTCTTTTTCAGAGTAAGTCTCTTAATGCAGCTGCCCATAATGAAAAATTCTTGATATCTGCCTTTCTAGCAAGAGTAATGCACGGAAAGCAGCTGGGTGAGTTGCTAAAAAAACTTAGGTTGAACTATAGCATTGCTATTGTAAAGCAGACACACTCTGCAAATGGCCTCATGAGAGATATCTTGTGGATGAAGACATAGTTCCATTTTGCAAATGTAAAAAAAATAATAATTCAAGTGAGAAAATGGAAGACTTGGGGTTCAAGATTAAGCTTCTTTTTTTTGCTCTTATGAATGTTCCCCACTTTCCCAGATGTCCTGTTTGAAAAAGATGAACGTGTAATGCCTCTGATGTCTGCTGCCAGTGTTTGGTCAAGCCTGGAAAACGCAGTGGAAGATAAAGACTTATTCAAAGAGATCACCATTCTCCTGTTTGTTCAGGTACTGCCTCTGCCTTGGCGAGGATCGCTTCCCTAGAAAAACTCATTTTATTTTGAGTTTACAGGGTGGGTCTGGGCCTAAAGGACACGCTTTGTCTTGTTTCTAGGCTGTGGCCATCTGCTTGGAGAAAGGCCAGAGATCTTCTGCCTCCTCGGTCCTCAAGTGGTTTGAAAAAAAAAACACATACCCTCGGGTCTGTATATCCAATTGCTTTTCTTTGTCCTTTTTTATCCTAAGATAACTGTTGTTTTTCTTCATTATTATTCTTAACGACAACTTTTTCTGAACCAGAACTTGGGAATTAATCTCTCGACTATAGTCACAAAAGCTGATACGTACCACCCAGTCTTCATGAACTTCAGCTTCAACCGCCTCCTGGAGACCATACACTCCTTCTTGGATGATTACTTGAAAAAGAACCCATGCGATTTCCTCATCAAGGTGAGATCTCATTAAGCGAGGTGTCTTACATGTCTTATTTTCTGCCAATTTCCCTTTTTCGTCCTTCCAGCATGTAGATCTTCCAATGGTGAAGTACATCTGTAACTCTAACTGTTCAATAATTCTGATGTTTATGTGGGAAATTGGCCTGAAAAAGAAACATATAAATAATAAACCTGTTCAAAGGATGAAAATGATCTGAGCTAGGATATTATGGTGTTGCAACTCTGGAGAAAATAAGCAGTTTTATCAAGATTTAGATTTTATTTTAATCAGTTCTAGCTCACTGGAGTGAAGGAAGCAATATTTCAGAAAAGCAGAGCACGTACTTTATTCTAATAGCAGGGAAGTACTTTTTTTTTTTCCAGTGGGGCATGTGTAAAACTTAATTTGAACAGGCGAGGATGTGTCGATGAACCCGAAAAGCATGTCATTTTTTCATGGGTGGTTTTGATTTCAGAGTGTAATTGGTAAACAGATCCGATACAAAAAAGCCATTTCAGCTGTCAGTTTTTGTTTTGTCATTATTTTTCTTATTTATGATTGTTATTAGGTTTTCTCGCTATATATTAACAGTAATATTAATGGGCCATTTTTTTCCTAATGTTTGTGATTCTCATCAAAAAACTTTTATTTAGTGCAGAATCATAAAAAACACAATTTTACTGTGATAATAGGGTCGGACTTCTGAAAGCAGCAGCATTTTTTGTTTCCTGTATAAAAAAAAATGGTCAGTTCCAAAGTGTGTAAGAAATTAACATTGCATTGTTTTTGTGTTTTTAATTCTTTCAATTAATTTGTTATCCTTTTTTTATTTAAAGTTATTCTATATATTAAAAATTTGACATTTTTTATATTTTCTTTTTTATGAATGTATTACAGATTTTAGAATTTAAGCGAATAATGTTTTTGTGCGGTAGTGACTTTTACCTGGAATATGTTTTTTCAATAATATTGGAGCAGATAGGAAGATTTGTAGAAAGTCACTAATGAAATGCATTTAGGTACAGAATGATTTTGCCTATAATTGTCAGTGAATACATGCATCTTAAAGTATGTTTATGCTTCTCATTCAGAAAGCTACAGTTTTTGTCCAATCTTCCCAAAACACGATGGATTCGGAGCCTGTGGAGTTACAAGACATCGCTGTCTCAGAAAAGCAAAGTGAAGCAACACAGAAGAATAAAAAGTATGAAAAATGATTTCTGACATATACACTTGAGCTCCAAGTTATTCCGAATTAGAGGGAGTTAAAGTTTGAGGTAACAGCACAGAGACCTTTCAGGCTCAAACACATAGATGGAGTTCATTGAATAAAGGGGTTAAAAAAAAATACAATCGAAAAAGCACAAAAAAAAAACTTATTAGCAACAGCACAAAGCTTTGATTGCTGTAATGGCAAAAGCTTGTCATCTTACAGAAAAAGATACGAATCATTTCTGATGTGCCACTTTGGACTTGTCATGTTGTCTTTTGAGAGATGTCAGACTTCTGATTTCACATCAGAAACAAACTTGTAGAGTAATTTTAAATGTGCCAGGGACATGAATAATTTTAAACTGTAATTGTTGTGATTACAATTTTCAAAGAAATTTTCATCTCAGAACATTATGCTGTTTTCGTCTTCATTTTTTCCACAACAAAAAAGGGGGTTATTTTAGTCTTCCCGAGTTGCATTGGCTACTACAATGTATTTACATGTCATTGAAAACAATCTGTAATACTTCAACAGAACAAAACGCAAACTGCTCTCTACTAAACCTACCGAGGCCTGGTCACCTGATATCACAAAAAAGCCGTGTGTTTCTCTAACAAGACTCAGCAGTAGAGGTAAGACGCATCCTATTTCTGTTTTTACCTGACTACCAATAATGGCAATTATGTAAATGTTTCCAGTACTGTTATGAACCTGATTAAAGCTAAAGACTTTTTAACCTCCCACCTTCAGAGGTGTGTCACCTGATGGCGAGGAAGACTTTAGAAACCTCCCCACTGCAAAATAGTGAAAAGTGCATGGAAAAGAAAACACGAAGGGCAAGTTGAATCACAAAACAAATATGTTTCAGATTAACTTATTCCAAATTTAAATAGTTTTCTTATTTAAGTTAAATTCATTTTTAGCGGGGTGGGGGGGAAAAGGTGCTGACTATGTGTTGTGTTTAGAAATGGACTGCCAAGCTGGACAAATGCCTTAAAGATGGGGTCAAACGTCATGGACAGGGGAACTGGTCTCGAATCTTACTGGATTATGACTTTGAGGGACGCACTGGCATCATGCTGAAAGACCGCTGGAGAGTTCTGCTAAGGACGGACAAAGTCGGCTGAAGAAAAGGCAGCTTCCAACCTCTTGTTTTAGCTGGGCTAATGGAGCAGTTTGCACATAAAACTACCCATTGATGAAGACATTATTTTCCTTTATTTATGTAAGAAAATGCTATTTTGGTGCTTATTTTTATTCCATGTTAGTGTAAATTTGTAAAATTTGTAAAGCCATTGGGCTTTACCAATTCTTAATTTCAATTTTTTTCACAAGAGGGCGCCAAAGTCAAAAATATTACCTACAGACTAATAAAATATTTTTATTTAAATTAGTTTTACAAGTAAAATTGCAAGTATATAGTTACTTTTTTTTAAATCATTTGATGTATTTTTTGCAGACATGTTTTGAAATAATAAATACAATTTAAAAAAAACTACTGATGCTTAATTTCTAACATAAGTGTGTTTTGAGTTTGCAGTGATCCTTGTAAGCTTTCGAGTTAGTATGTAGCTCTTAGTGTCTCAGAAAACATCCTGTGGTCTGCACGCTTTGTTTCAGCAGACTGGAGGTCAGGTGAAGATGAAGATATGTTGTGTTGGACAGGTGCACTGGGGAGTTTTCTGGACCTTCCTCCATGTCCCTCTGCAGTGTGGGTTCCCCATTGCCTGCCATTGAAGCACAGCTTCTCTGAAACACAGTAACATTGCATGGGAAGATTTCAGTCATGTTTCTTTCTCCCTACTATTTCAGTCAAAAATGTATGTAAATTTATCGGCATGACTATAACAGATGTTGGCTTTTATGGCATCTTCTAAGCCTGCTGCAAGTTGGCTTTACATCAGCATGAACTGAGACTCCCAAATTTGACTGAAATTTGTCCACCTGGATGATTTAAAAGCCTTTTAGGGAGAGGAATGGAAAATATTGAGCTATTTGGCAACGATGACAAAATTAAGGATAGGAAGAGTTGGTGTGATGCATGGTGGTGGTAGCATCATGCTTTTGGGAAATTTCACAGCCAAGTGTGCTGGTGTTTTTTTTTTTTGTTGTTGTTATTTGTTTGTTTGTTTTTTGCCAAATTCATGCAAGAAGTTTGTTTATGGTTGCAAAGTTTTAAAAAATGTGATTGAGGGGTAACATGCTCAAGGATTTTGAAACAAGAATGCAGGTACATGTATTTAAGTTTGTATTTTACTTGACCTTTTGTGGATTAGAAAACTGCACTAAAGTCAAATCACAGTTTCTGAGTACACTCTTGAATAGTTAAATACATTATTTAAGCACCACAACTAATAACTTCCTACTTGTTCGATTCTTGGCCGTCACCCTGACAGCTACTGTTCTGTAGGGCAGGAGGTTCACACGCTACACACACTTTGAATCCTTCAGTAATGTAGCGCATCCAGAGGGTGTGAGGCCGGTTCTCCACCGTGCAGTGTGCTGTCCGGGACTCCATTTTAAATTCCATGCAGAACCTGATGGGGGTAACAGAAAAGTCTTAAGACACATGGAAAATAATCTCAATATGTTAACAGAACAAAAACAAAAGCTGCAGGTTTCTTGGAAAGCGTGCGTCACTTTACCAATGTGCAGTTGTGATTTCTGCACTCACCTTTTCTCTTAGAAAGCCCCTTTAATGTGTGTGGACCTTTCTGTGACATTTGTGAGGATTTAATTTCAAAGGATTGTGGGCTGTTTCTGAGCACTGCTGTATAATCATGTTTACAGACAGCCAGGTGGGCAAACAAAGGTAACTCACTTAGATGCAACAAAGCAGGTTTAGACTTTTATATTACAGGGTAAAATTTTACCTCCATGAAAGCATTTCTTTTGTCGTTTTTTTAACGTCATGTGTCTTGCTTTCAGTCACCCGCAGATAATGTGAAACTTACCCTGTGTCCAGGGGGTTTCCATAGCTGTCATGCTTAGGTCTTCCTTTACCAAATTCCAAGCTGGTGATGAATGCTGGGCCTGATAAAAGAAAACGGCTCAAGTTTTTTAATATTTTGCCCATTGATGGAAAACTTTGGAGATCTTGTCAGAGTTTAAGTTCAAGTTCAAGATTATTTGTATAGCACATTTCAGCAGCTAGGCAGTTCAAGGTGCTTTACATCACAAAAAACACAAAAATACAAAGTCATAGGATGCACAGTCAACAACTGAAGCAGGATTTTACTGATTTGATCAAATACTATTTTTGACTGGCTAAATCATCTGTGCAGCATACAGCTGCAATGATGCTTGCTCTTGATTTTCCTAACCAATCTTCTTTCATTGCACGACTTAGAAGTTCGATACCTCAGGGTATCATTGGAGACTTTAACATGAAAATGATTCTAAACAAATATCCAGAGTGGTTTTGGGATCCATGCAAAATGGTTAATGTTTTGGACCATGTTCTTGTTCTAGATGTAGTTTTTTGATCACCCTTTGCAGGGTGCATCCTGCCTCTCGCCTAAGACCTGAAGAAGGTTGGCAACAACCTTATTGAAAATTTGTGGGCTTTGCATGGAAGTCTTGTCCATGCAAAATAATTTAAGACAGTATTGTCTGTCATTCTGAAAAAGGATGGGTCAAAAACATAAAGGAATCCAAATTTACTATCTTTCAGTGAGACATGGATGTAAACCTCTAAGTGGCATTCTAAGTGGCATTCTAACACAAAAAATAGCAGCAGTCATGAAAGCAGATATTATGTTTCTTATACCTGAATTGAGTCCACATTGGCTGCCTCTGTGATCTCTATACTCCCTGCAACCAGCTCTCTCCTCCAGACTGGGACAGGCATCGCCGCTGTTACCAGGCTGCTGCTCTACGTGACGGACACGGACTCTGACTGAAGGCTGGCAAGGTTTGGCACAACCACTCCAAAAGCTCCAAGCGCTCACAGCACAGTCTTGAGCTACAAAAAAAAGAGGCCCCCACAGGGCAGAATAAAGACTTGCTTACAACTTTCACACAGGCTCCAATTCTCATCTCGATTCAAAAGAAACATAATTATTGGACTGTGTTGCAATGTATGGGGTCTAGAAGAACTAGTGGGGTTTTTTTTGTCTCTGTTACAAACAGGTTTAATCTGCCAAGTGAACACAAGTTCAATTCTTTGTGCTTAATAATCAGGCTTTGATGTTGTAAGTGTGCCCATTTTGTGGCTACTGGGCTGTAACACATATTAAGTACGCTCAGCTTGTTTGCCTGGAACTGTAATTGCTGCAACTGATTGACAAGATTCACATTCTTCAAATATTTGTCCTAATGCCATTGTGTTGTGTTGGGCAGTCCACTGAAATGAGGCTTGGCACAAAGCTGGCTGAGGTATTTGGTAGACACACAAGATAAATGAGAAAAATTACAGATAGTATTCAGAATGAGCAAGAGCTGCATCACTAACGATTAGATAAGGCTAACAATTCCTTTCCGACTTTGTTGCCCCTTGTCTGACAACTTCCGAAGATAATTTGTCTTCTGATTATCTCATAGGGGTGCCATAAAGTTCAGTTGTGAATGAATCCAACTGACTCCTCTGTGATTCATTTACCCTAAGACTGGTCCCCTCCCTTCATCACTCACCTGGACACTCTGTGAAATAGTCAAAGCAGCAGTCATTGGTTTTGATGCAGACCTCGTCGCAGTAGCATTTTGCAAATGCTCGGTCCATCCTCCAGTCTGTAGTAGAACAGCCCATGTTTCTGCCCCGGCAACATTTCCCCGAACAACCAGCGGCCACCAGATGCTTCTGCCCAAGACAGCACAACACCGTCACCCAATAAACGACCTCCAAATAGGAAACCATCACGAATCGAGTGAGAGCCGAATGTCCAGTTTTGAAGTAATACTCCAACCTCTTGGTTGGCTCTTTGTATAGAAGGGTGTTCTCCTTAAAACATGTCCAATCCAGCTTTTCTTCTTGTGTGCAACTGACAAGACAGAACTCCACCACAGGATCCCTTGTAATCTGGAGTTCCTGCTTCTCTCTGCTGTGTCCAGACTTTGGGCTCTGCAAAAGCAGCCTACAGTTCAAAGCATCCCAAAGCTCCCACCACAGCCACACTTTCATTCCTCATGCTGTATTTGCTTTAGTCTCTTCTCAGAGCTGGTGTCTCCCTCCAGGTTCGCCAGCTGAGTACCTCCCTCAACAATAAGGGGAGGGGTGACCTGCTGGGTTTGGGTTTGTGTGCTTTCCCTCCTGCTTCTGTTCTTTCCTTTACCTCCTTTTTCATACCTGCCATCATTTTTATCAATACGTCTGTCTCATCCTTTCCCTTCAGAAGAGCTGTAATCCAGATACCATTCTGCCAGCGGTGCCACTCCTGATCTCTGAGTCTCACAAGAAAGGCAGGAATGTGAGGGCTTGGCAAGTTTCCAAATAATTGTGCTGCAGGATGCTCAAGGGACACTGAAGTCACTCTTTAGTTCTTACCTTGCTGCCTTTTTGCCTCACTCTGTTTCAGGGTTGTGTAACAAAAGCAGATGAAGCAAAATTTAGTTTGTTTCTGTCTGATTTATTGTTGGTTGCAGGGTTTAGTAAAGCTGCACTTTTTAATAAAAGGGTTATTAAACACTAGAAGCATCTAGAGGTAGCAATGTACGTTCTTCTTAAACCCAGTGATTTTGCATAGCTTCTTTGTATTCCTAGCAAAGCATCAATATAAACTTGTTCCAAGAATTCTAAAACATTTTGCTAAACAATGCTTTCAAATATTTTATCTTTTGACTACTTCCATATTTGATTGTCAGTATGACGTCTTTTCTTGAGAAGCTAAGTTGATTTTACATAAGCTTAACTTGTTCTTCATTTTGCAGAACTGGGTTTGGGTCTGTCATTATATTTTAAAGAAATTTGGGCCTTTGTTTTCTTTTTGGTCAGCCATGTTTTTTGATTTCTAGTCTCTCATTTTTGGTCCAAAAATTGTTTAGGATGTTCTCTAGAGTTACACACGTTAGAATATCTTTGTAATCTTTCCGCCCGATAGATGAGATCTTCGAGCCAGTGTCATGTCATCAGACAAGTCATTTTCAAGCAATTTATTTATTCCCTGGGGCTGGAAATAGTCAGTCCTTCGATGGCAGCTCTTAAAAAAGTGTTTCCTCATAGTCAATCACTTTGCAAGGGGTTGATAAATAGGTTTATTTTTGGTTTCATAAATAAAACTATTTGAAAACTACTAATTTCTCTTAGTAGGGTTATCTTGTTCAGACAGTAAAACATAATGTTTAATTAGCTTTGCAAGGAACTAATATTATCTATAATCTGGATACGTATTAAATTTACAAACAAAGACCCTCTGTGGGTTCTATAACCTGGATCCTTGAAAAACAGTGAAAGGTTTTATCTTCATTATAATCATCGTTGGCAACATTCAGCATCTGAACTGGTGAACTTAAAACTCTGAGTGAAGTCAACCTGAAATCCCGTGCATCTTATTTGGACACTATGAAACACGAGTACCTGGCTTTAATCTAAAATCCTTTTACACACACTTACATGCATGCAGCTTTGTTCAGTCATAGTGCTGTTGCTTAAATGATCTCTCCATTGATCTGAGAGAGAAAGCTGCAGAAGTTTACTGTGCCTTCAGCACGGTGGAAGTGCAACATCAAAGCATGTGTGTTTTACATCTGACAGACTCCCAAGCCTGGACCTTCTGCCCCTGGAGTGCATTTGTCAGAGATGATCAGCCTAACCATTAGAACACACTCCTGTTTGACAGCTTCTTTGTGCGTCTCAGTGGGGAGGACCGAATTAACGGGTCTCAAAACGTTAAACTGCAATGTAAAAGGAAGCACACCAGGTCAGAAACAGATGTATTGAGTTTAGTCAATACATCTTATTGGGGAGCAAATCCCAGAAAAGACAGGGGTGAACCTTTGCTTCATCACACCTATGCGGGGAATGCAAACTGTAACTGTGTTGTAAAGCTATATTGATGAACTTCAACTTCACAATGACATTCCTCAGTTCTTAACCTGACAACATATCAGTCTAGCAGGTCAGAAGACTTCCTGTTGCTTCCTGAACCAGAAAGCTATTCTTTATCAAACATAGATAAGTGTACATGCCCTTGTAAAATGTAACAGAATCAAAGCACAATAAGTCATTATAGGATTTATTGTCCTATAATGACTTACTGTCATTAAAGTAAGACATGTACATTATATGTACATGTCTTAACTTTATAAGATGGGCACATTTTACCAAATCAAGATACAGAGTAACATTTAAAAGCCATAGACACAATTATAATAATACAGGATAATTGTTCACCATATGTTTTGATGTTTTTCTTCATTAAACACTGACTTTTTAACAGTGGTGTTTGTTTTCGAGAACTATAATTCAGCGTCTTCTTTACTTGCGTATCTGTCCGATTTTATGTGCACTTTAGTGATTTGGAAAGCTTGTTATTGTAAGCGGGTCTGTCTTTCTTACATGCTTTTGTTTGAGAATGATGGGACCAGACGTGTCACAGGTTCATGAGTCACTCTTCACGGAGTTGTAAAGTTGGTTGTTTGACTTGGCTTGAAACATCAAAGACTTAATGATGCAGAGAGAACACTGTTTAAAATGCATTGCACTGAACAAACAGACTTACAACGTGACATTCAGGGAGTCTTGGTCATTGCGCTCAACTTACAGCCGTGTCTATTATGTTTTATAGCCACATAATGAACTTCCATTTCTTACAGGACATTATCAGTTATGGATGATGCTTTTTCCAGCATCCAAGCAGCAGAGGGGACTGATTACCCAGTTGCTTCTCTCCTGACATGCTTGACCTTCGATCAGTGCCACCATGGTGACAACCAAGAAAGTGATTTTGATTTAAAGTTTTCCCCTTGCCCGAACCTGACATCACCACCGATAATCATCCAATCATCAGTCACCTCCCTTGGCATACAATTCCATATGTATGTAAATCAACGCGGGCAGGTAGATGAGGCGCAGTGTGTGGGCGTGGAGCCCAACTGACCCCCGTCTCTCTGAGAGATAAAAATGCAGGTAATGGTGATGACTGCAGGAGATGGGGTGCATCTATCACAGCTGGTTTCATAAATCTCTTCATGAAACGACAAAGAGCAGTCAGAAAGGTTAGATCCGTAGAAAGTTGTGTGAACATGTGTCTATTGCTGTGCCAAGAGCGGGGTGAATAAATATCACAAATTGGCAAAGCCGAAACCTGCTCTGAAAGGAGAAATTTCATGCATGTAGTCGCCAAACTTCAAAACATGCTTCCAAACTTTTATGGAAAATGGAGTGGGAGAATTGCACCTTTTTTTTTTTTTGATGAAGAAAGCACTCAGTCTCCCATCTTGTTCTTTCAGGTTTGTCCCCCTAGTAATTCAAACACTTCTCTGATCATTTTTTCTGGTCCCCAAACTTACAGTTTCCAACTGAGATCCATTATTTTCATCTGCAGCAAATCCATCATTCTGCAAGATGTGAGTATGAGATCCTTAAAAGCCCTGCTCTATATATATATATATATATATATATATATATATATATATATATATATATATATATATATATATATATATATATATATTCTATTTACTTTTTTGTTAATTTAAATAATTTTAAGCTCAATGGGGCCCAAAAAGGTCCCTTTCCTGACTGGCTTATGAGTCTGAGACCTGAATTAATATCTTATGTTTGACAAAAATTCACCCTGAAAAGATCAAAACACTTTCAAAAATAAAGTAATTTTCAAAATACTCACTGGGCTGAATGCAAATGCATTTCTATCATCATATTTATAAATTCAAAACTTTTAATTTATTTGTTTATGCTACCTGAAATTATAGAGTTGATATCTTGAATTTCTTCTTGTTTCCTGGCAACTGCTCAGAGACTTTACCAGCTGTACCTACCAGGGTTTGTTAGGCTTAGCAACAACAAAAGAAATCCATCAAGATAATTAGGTGGCACCTCCTAAGGTTCTAGGAGGGAGATTTGGCAGATTCACATCACTTTGGGAGTCTGGGGGGCCTCACAGATCGATAACAACAATCCATCTCAAGTTATTCAATCAACACATCTTTCATGTACTTTTTCTTGTAAAGTAGCAGATTCACTGATCTCTGTCTCAAGACCCATGCTGGCACTTTTCTTCTCTATAACATGACCCAAGCATATTTGGGGCATGTTTGATTTAAAGAGCTGGCAAAGCTCAAATTTGGCACTCGGATAACATTCTTTGATCCTTGCTGTGAGAGTCTGCTGGAATAATATCAGCTGGTAAAACAGTAACAAAAACTGTCTTTTCTTAAACAGAATACCAGTAGGTTGAATCAGCTGGACACCAGACCCATAAAGGATAGCTTAATGTTACAGTGATTTCTGAATATCTATCGGCTTTTCTTGTATCAAAGATGATTTATACGAAAAGGTTCCTTTGGGCTAGGGCAGTCAAAGACTTCTATGGAGCTACAGTGAAACGATAAACCACTTGTGTGCTTACCCCAGAACATTTCTTCTTAAAGCCCTCATTGTCAGCTGTTTGTTCCAGGTCATTTTGTTTCACTACCCTTAAAAGGGACGGTAAAAATCCCTGCAAGAGCAGGGAAGCCCGGCCTCTGTTTGAGCCTGAATGCAACCCGTTCACTTAGCATGAATCACGGAGGGGTGCGGGGGGCGGCTCTGTGTTTCTAGGTCACTATGTGTCCCTGAAATGCACACCTGACTACCCAGAGGGAGGGAAGGAGGTAGGGATGCAAGCAGAGCCTGACGTCTGACAACGTCGCATTTGTAGTTGAGGAGCTTCGGGACACACTCCCTGAAGTTAAGCTCAGCTGACGGTTAATTTCTGAAAGGCACAATGACTTTTCAGAGAGACATACATCTAAGTATCTTCTCTTTGGGAACAATACTCTTTTATGGATTCCTAAGCACCCATGTTGTTTTTTGACATAAAGAGAGAGAGGGACCATCTTTAGCTCTCACTTTTTTTTTCTGACTGCTGAGGGTTAAAAAAATCAATATTTCAATATTATCTTTGAATTTTGCCAACACTGAATAATCTCTGTAGCAGGCAGAAACTTTTGCCTCT